CTGCACAGCAGCCTCGTGGGTCCACAGTTACAGTGTGGGCGGTCTCTGAAACTCTCCCACCCACCCTGAACTCTTCGGTCTTCTCCAAGCTGCTTCCAGCTGAGTCCCTTCCTTTTAGACAGTATAGACACAAGTCAGGAATATGCAGTCCTCAGAAGACAGAGAACTCAAAGAGAAAAAGCACCAGCACAAGAACCAACCGAACAGAGGGGAAAGGGACTGACGGACAGCCCTGCCCTAAGTTCCCCATTCCCGTGAGGAGGAAAGCTCCAAAGCCATCTGTTTCCCCCACTTTTCTTCCCTGGCTAGGAGGAGAGGAGAAGAAACTTCCGGAGAGATGTGATCGAAGGAGGTGGGATTTATCCCTGAGGCTAAGCATTTCTGTCACAAGTGAAAAAGTTTACCCTGTCTGGCAGAAACACTCACACTGGAAGATGCTGTCCTGGGAAACAGGATATGCCCCGGATTAGGCAGAGTGAATTCTGTCCAGTTTTAAACATTACAGAAAAAAATAAGAAGAGGGGACAGTCAACTCCAATCACCACTCCTCATAAGCTCCACCCTCTCAGGTAATAAAAGCCAGGTCAGGACCAGCTCCCGGACCACCTGCCATTGGAGACAGTGAGTTCTGGGGAGCCTTGCTCCTCATCTGCCTCCCTTCCAGACACAGTCAGAATGCCACTCCCGATAGCTTTCCCTTCCTTGGGGAGCAGGTCTGAGACAGTCATGAGGTCGGTGCACTGCATAAGGGAGCCAGTGAGAATGCAGCTGGGGGCTGAAATCCAGTTTACTCTGAGCCATGTGTCCTGGTGTGGGGTTGCATATGCTCAGAGAAAGGACCTTTCTCTGTACAAAGATGCCACTCACTCACACACAGGGCTGAGCATGGGCTGGCAGTAGCCCTGCTATATGATGCCGGATGATGGTATGTGTGGTGGGGGAGGAGCTTCCACCTTGGAGAAACACTTTCTGACTTTTCCCCTAGGTGCCGACTCAAAAGGCATCTGATTCCCTCCAAATGCATTTGATTTTTCACAAATTAATTCATCTTGTCCTTGCCCATGCACAGCTTCTAGGAAGCCAGAGTATAGGAGTCAAATTCTAATTCTAGTAGGTCTTTTGTCCACTGCTGCTTTTCAGAGTTTATGGTGAGGCTGTACTACCCGCTTCCTTTGTTTGAATGCTGCCGGTATGGTTTTGCTGGTCCATTCTGCCTCATTTTTCATTCATGTTTTTAGTTTCTGAGATGGGGGACTTTTATTATATGGCTGCATACTGCTACATGCTACTTCCAACCTGTTCTTGATTTAAATGTGGTCTTTCTGTGCTGCTCTGTTTCCACATTGTGAAGTGTGAATATGCACTTTCATATGCCATATACATGCTCACAAAGGCTTAAAGTATCTGAATCACTTTTTTTTTTTTTTAAGAGACAAGAGTCTTGCTCTTTCACCAAGGTTAGAGTGCAATGGTGTGACCCTAGCTCACTACAGCCTCCAACTCCTGGATTAAAGCAATTCTCCTGCCTCAGCCTCCTGAGTGGCTGGAACTACAGGTGTGAGCCACCACACCTGGCCCTGAATTTACTGTTTAAGAGTTTTGGTGAAAAGCTAAATGTATTCAGCTGTTCAATAAATGTTATTTGGTGTGATTAAGGCACCACAGGCTTATAACATATTGAAGATGACCTCAAGCTGATCCCACATTCCGATTTTTAAAATAATTTAAATTCTGGAACACAAGTGCAGGAAGTGCAGGCTTGTTACATAGGTAAACGTGTGCCATGGTGATTTGCTGCACCTATCAACCCATCATCCAGGTATTAAGTACCACATGCATTAGCTATTTATCCTGACGCTCTCCCTCCTCCCCACCCCCAACAGGCCCCAGTATGTGATGTTCCCCTCCCTGTGTCCATGTGTTCTCATTGTTCAGCTCCTACTTATAAGAGAGAACTTGCAGTATTTGGTTTTCTGTTCCTGTGTTAGTTTGCTGAGGATGATGGCTTCCAGCTCCATCCATATCACTGCAAAGGACCTGATCTTGTTCCTTTTTATGGCTGCACAGTATTCCACAGTGTGTATGTACCACATTTTCTTTATCCAGTCTATCATTGATGGGCATTTGGTTGATTCCATGTCTTTGCTATTGCGAATAGCACTGCAATGAATATAGGCGTACGTGTATCTTTACAATAGAATGATTTATATTTCTTTGGGTATATACCCAGTAATGGCATTGCTGGGTCAAATGGTATTTCTGGTTCTAGGTCTTTGAGGAATCACATTGTCTTCCACAATGGCTGAACTAATTTACACTCCCACCAACAGTGTATAAGGGTTCCCTTTTCTTGATAATCTCGCCAGCATCTGTTTTTTCTCGACTTTTTAATAATCATCATTTTGACTGGTGTGAGATGATCGTTTCTTTTGCTGTGCAGCAGCTCTTTAACGAGATCCCATTTGTCAATTTCTGCTTTTGCTGCAATTGCTTCTCATGTTTTCATCATGAAATCTTTGCCCATGCTTATGTCCTGTATGGCACTGCCTAGATTTTCTTCTAGAATTGTTATAGTTTTGGGTTTTACATTTAAGTCTTTAATCCATCTTGATTTAATTTTTGTGTAAGTGTAAGGTGCAATGAAGAGGTCCAATTTCAATTTTCTCCATATGGCTAGCCAGTTTCCCCAGCACTATTTACTAAACAGGGAATCATTTCCCCATTGCTTGTTTTTGTCAGATTTGTTGAAGATCAGATGGTTGTAGATGTGCAGTCTTATTTCTGAGACCTCTACTCTGTTCCATTGGTCTATGTGTACCAGGACCATACTGTTTTGCTTACTGTAGCCTTGTAGTATAGTTTGAAGTCAGGTAGTGTGATGCCTCCAGTTTTGTTCTTTTTGCTTAAGATTGTCTTGGCTATATGTGCTCTTTTTTGGTTCCATATGAATTTTAAAGTACATTTTTTCTGATTTTATGGAGAATGTCAATGATAGTTTAATGGGAATAGCATTGAATCTATAAATTACTTTGGGTAGTATGGCCATTTTCACATTATTGATTCTTCCTATCCATGAGCATGGAATGTTTTTCCATTTGTTTGTGTCCTCTCTTATTTCCTTGAGCAGTGGTTTGTAGTTCTCCTTGAAGAAGTCCTTCACTCCCCTTGTTAGCTGTATTCCTAGGTATTTTATTCTCTTTGTAGCAATTGTGAATGGGACTTCATTCATGATTTGGCCCTCTACTTGTCTATTGTTGGCATATAGGAATGCTTGTGATTTTTGCACATTGATTTTGTATCCTGAGACTTTGTTGAAATTGCTTATCAGCTTAAGAAGCTTTTAGGCTGAGATGACGATGAGGTTTTCTAGATATAGGCTCATGTCATCTGCAAACAGACACAGTCTGACTTCCTCTCCTCCTATCTGAATACCCTTTCTTTCTTTCTCTTGCCTGATTGCCCTGGCCAGAACTTCCATTATGTTGAATAGGAGTGGTGAGAGGTGGTATCCTTTTCTAGTGCCAGTTTTCAGTGGGAATGCTTCCAGCTTTTGCCCATTCAGTATGATATTGGCTGTGGGTTTGTCATAAATGGCTCTTATTTTTTTGAATATATTCTATCAATACGTAGTTTATCTAGAGTTTTTAGCATGAAGACGTGTTGAATTTTATCGAAGGCCTTTTCTGCGTCTATTGAGATAATCATGTGGTTTTTGTTATTGGTTGTTTCCCCATTTTGATTTTTAAAAATTGAAATATGATGTTTTCAGGCTTAAATAACATGGCAGAAAATCTAAAAAACATCCTGTTTCTTAAAATGATGCTCTGAAAATGTAGCTGAATTTGATATTCAGTCAAGAGTTTCCAACAGACGTTGCTTGTACAATAAACTTATGCAGTGAATCTGCCATTGTGATAGAGGAGGCTTTAAATCAGATTTAAATCTTGTCATGCCTAAATAAATGTGCTAATATTTTCTGTCGGTCTCTAGTGCAGCTGTTAAAGCATTTTGGGCTCTGTAGACCAAATGAGACTTCTAAATTTCATATGAGTTCTGTGTTCTAATTCTTATTATTTTTTGCTTTTCTAATTAGAAAACAGGCATTGGCTTTTGTAAAGGTGAACATCAAGATTTACTGATTCTAAATATAACTTTCAGAACAATAAATTTTGAATATCAAAGCACAAAGTCAATACATGTCACAGATTCTGAATGCTTTCAGTAGTAGCACAGGAAAACTTCAGAATTTTGCATATGTAACATTTAAGCAGGAAGCTATCACTCAGAAAACACATTTGCAAATAATGTTTGATTTCAACTAGGATAACAGTTTTCTGGTAACTTTGCTCAGCTAATCAGATTTTTTAAAAAGATTCTTAAAATTACAACACAGTTTACTTTCCTACAAATTTTGGCAAACAAAAATTTTAAGTCTTTCCTTTCTTTAATTTCCAGTTTCCCCAGTTATGAAGTGTCGGTTCTCAATTCCCTCTCCATGGGCTTCATGCTTAAGTTTTTTCAGGTGTAAGTTTCACAAATTAGCTTCACCCTTCATGAGTATCTTTTCATAAACTCCCTTAACACATTGAGTCAGGTAGTTTAATTCTATTCTTTGTCATATCCCCCTCCTTAGTTCTTTAGGGTCCAACTGTGTCTCGTTCATCTCAATTTTGCCAACTAATATCCATAGAATTTCTTATGCAAGATCTCGGCACTATACCGCAATGTTGTGAGAAATGTGACTGACAGCAGATTTTTCCATGTGCTCATGCATCCATTTATTTGACATCAATTGACTCGATACTGAAGCCACTCATTCTTTCTTACATCCTTTCAAAACTCTACAAATAAGCTGCATTTTGTCATGTGGCAAATCTATCTTCTCAGGTGAAACACCAGTAAGACTGATCAGAAAAACAACTTTGTTTGGGGCAAGGGCTCAAACTCATGGACCGTTTTTTTTTTTCCTATTTAGGAAAGAAAGAAGGAAAATTTAAATGTTTAATCTACTTTTTACTTTTATTAAAGTTTAAGTAAACTGGGCAACTAAAGGTGTATAATGATAGGTACCATAGATTCTCTTCCATTCTACCTCTAAATCAATTAAATGAAAACACTCAGGAGTTTTAAGCTCAATCTTGTGAACCTAGGAGCAAAGAATGTGTCCAGATACGTTCATTAATTCAGAAATAAAATTTAATGACTCTTAATGTTGTTTTTACTAGTACAAAGTAGGTTAACAGTCCTTAAATTTAACATATTTCTTTTTCTTTTTTTTTTTTTTTTTGAGATTTAGTCTTGCTCTGTCACCCAGACTGGTGTGCAGTGGCATGATTTCAGCTCACTGCAACCTCCATCTCCTGGTTCAAGCAATTCTCATGCCTCAGCCCCCTCAGTAGCTGAGTTTAAAGGCATGCACCACCATGCCTGGGTAATTTTTGTATTTTTAGTAGAGACGGCGTTTTCACCATGTTGGCCAGGCTAGTCTCGAACTCCTGACCTCAAGTGATCCACCTGCCTCAGCCTCCCAAAGTGCTGGGATTTCAGGTGTGAGCTACCATGCTGAGGCTAAATTTAACATATTTCTGAACAATCATAGACATGTCCTATTTTTAGCAGGAGCTCAAAGAAAATGTTTGATAAGGTACAGATTTATTATATTTTAGTCCAACCCCTATATTTAGCAAATACAAAACCATAGTCATGTTTACAATGTAAAAATTGTAGAATATCTCTGTATACTAAAATATTATTAATAATGCAGTTTTTGAGAACCAAAATATCAGCTGGCTGACTTTGCTTTTATGATGTATATTAACATCTTTTAGCATGACAATACCACTAAGAGAAGTTCACCATTCTTTCAATATCTTTTGAATTCCAGTATGCATTACTAGTTGGCAAATTTATTTTAATGGCAGTATGGTAATAATTCATTCCAAAGAGCAAAGATTCATTTTGATGAACTATTTGATCATGAAACATGTAGTGGCAAATTTTCAATTCATAAACTATTTTTATCACTCAGTGAGGATTACTATTGTAGCTGGCATAATCATGAGAACTTTTTCATGTTTGATTAAAAGCATTTACCATTACCATTAAATTGGCTATGACATGCAAGAGGTCCACAAAGCTGCCAAGGATGTGGCAATCAGCTCCCCAGCATGCTCAGTTTGTACATTAATGGCTGCCTTGATTAAGCTTGAACACGAAACACAACACACTTCAGAACATATGTCTCAACAGAGCTTCCTACACCTTCTCCACTAGCTAATGAGACACGGATCATCATTGTTTGGCTTGACTTCTCCTTCCAGCAGCAGATTCATCACCGCCTTTGTCAAATAGCTGCATGTTCCTCTTTTTCCCAGGGGAGGAGTGTTGTAAAAGGAAGTCATGTCATCCTACAAAGGAAAACAGTAAGCAAGGCATTTGATCTTCTGTTTGTAAAGAGTTGACAGGTAAAATCAGTGTCATCTTAGGGGGGAAAATAAATTCACATAAAGATTTCCCTATGGAAAATATGAGATTCCTGAGCTTTTCTTTCATTTTCCTGAGGTGCATACAAAACAAAGACATTTTCAGTATTCTCTCCTTCGTTGATAATTTTTATTTACTTAGAGAATCTCTTTACAGTTGAACATAAAATATTAAACAGAGAACCTGGAAGGGCCTATATTAGGCAGTACACAGCAGCAATGTAGCCTGTCACTGCATTCTTATTGTCCCCAGAATTTAATTTTATAGCCTTCTGGAGTCCATGCTTCCTCTCTGATAAAACATTTTTACACTAACCATATAAAGGAAATTTATCTCTTTCTAGATTTCTTTTTTGTTAGAACTTCACAGCTGAATTGACTATAATTAACTAAAAAGTAACATTAATTCCTCAAAAAAGGCAGACTGCCCCTCAGGTATCCTATTTTGCACCTGTGAATCTGTTTTATAAAGTAAATGAAAATACACTAGGGATATTTTAAAGAATTGAGACAATGAAAAAATTCTACAAAACAACAACAACAACAACAACGCTGTTTACTTACTTGTTTTTCAATTTCCTTTAGCCGACTCTGATCTTTTTGAAATTCATTAAATGCTTCTTTGACCAGTCTGTCTAGATCTACTTTGTCTTGAAATTCTAGCTCGGGGTTTCTTTCCAGTACAATGGATACAACCATAAGTAACTAGGAGAGACAGACATTGAAAGCCAATTATATGAACCATAATAGTGACATGTTTTCACTCTTTCATCAGAAGGATGGGTGATCCAAAGGATGTTCTGTATGATGAGAGGCTCAAGGATCACCTATGGAAAGAAGCTTCCTAATTTTGCAAGTTATCTGCGTAAGTTCTGTTTGAAAAGTGCACCTTTTATTTTTTCATTGTGTATATTCCTAGAAGTGTTTTTTAGTCAGTTAAATAAAACCATTAACTTAGAAAAATGACTTTCCTAACCCATCGTGTACATAATACATGATACCCTATTCACCCAAAGTGTCTGAACTCTTTCTGGGCCTTTGGGTGTCAATCCTTGTTGGCAAGACACCAAAACATTGTCTGTGGAGAGAAGGGTCAGAGACCAAAGCCAGAGAAGCCAGGTGTGTTCAATGGAGACTCTGGACCTAGGTTCAGGATCAAATGACCTGGAGCCCAGGGCCCAAGTGAATATAAGTCTGTGATGCCACAGTAGTTTCTCAAGGGATGGCCATGTTTTAAAAAAATACATTTAACTGTGACCCCTGTGACAAGAGTCCTATTTCGTCTGTATAAACTATCTTAGTTTAATGAATCACCCTATTGCTTGGCCATCACATACACCCATCCTAAGTGGTAATGTTCATTTTAGATGCCAAATTCCTATAAACAAAAATAGTATCTGCATATGCAATAATTGGTAAAGGCTCTCTGATGATGTTTATGGCTCCTAATTTGTACACTGAACAGGAAACACGCCTCATAATTCCCAATTTGGGATTCTTACTGACTGTATTTTATCTAGATGCTTCCAAAACAGAAACTGAAAGAACCAAAGGAAACACAGTAAAATCCAGGGGTCACAATGTGGGAAACCTTAGGGCAGGGCTTTAGCCATGAGAATATGAAGTTTTGCTGTAGGTCTAAAGGAAAATGTCTTCTGCAGAGGGAATGACCTCACTGTGGTCAACAAGAAGGATCCCTATGTCCACTGTATGTCCCAGATGCTGGGTACTAGACATGGAAGGCATTCACCCATCTAATAACCCCATCTTTTCCCAATCCATTCCGCCTCATGCTGTGAAAATGATTGGCTAATACTGTTCCATATCCTGGGACATGAAAGAGGAGGCTGAATCTACTCAGCTCTGACTGCAGCTCCAGACATGCTAGATTTTAGGAGGTGCCATGTCCAGGTTGGCGGTCACACAGAGCTTCTGTAGCAATAAGACATATTATCTACCCTTGAGAAACACAAAAATTGGAGGGCTACATTCCTGGGAAAAGAGACAAAGTGCAGATGAGCTAAATATTAACCCATCAACTGGTGGCTTCTCTATGTATTTGGGGTGATGTTTAACATGACAAGAGGGCACATGTGTTCTATTAATTTTACATGTAACTTTATACAGGACTGAGATACAGCATGCAATGACATGTCTTCTCTTCATATGGAGATGTCTAGAAAGATGTTCCTCAAAATATTAACAGCAATGATCTCTTGCTAGTGAGTGTGGGGTAAACTTTTATGTTATTTTCTATAATTTTCTAAACTGCTGAAACTTTCTACAATAGTTGTGCATTATTTCTGTGAATAGAAAACAAAAATGAAAACAAAGTGGATAGAAAAAGGTCACCTCCTGTACTTTTATGATGTTGCTGATACACTTGATGCTGAGGGGTGAGTGTGTGGCTGAAAAGCAGGGGTCGGTTCTCCCTTCCTGGAGGAGCCTGAGGTGTCTGAATTGCTCATGTGCCTTGCCTTGGGTCAGGGGTGGTCATCTTCTTGAGGACTCGGCTGGGAAAGATCAGGGTTCCGGAAAGAATAGGGTTCTGTGTCTCATAGGAAAGATGAGCGTTCTGGAAAGAATAGGATTCTGGGTCTCATAGGCAGTTTCCCTTATACTAGTTTTCAGGGAGCAGAGAGAAAGCATTTCTTCAGCAATCTTCATTTCTTACTACTCACCTCTACAACGATCTGTCTGTACTGTGGCTGGTCAATATTTCCCAACGTGTCTTCAACAAGGAGAGAGAAATTCATCTCATACATGGTCATATCTGACAGGGTTGGTTGCTGAAAAAAATAACTCCACATTAACATGCTGAACTGTTATGCTCTGGTTCTCATTTAACAGAAGAATTTCATTTTCTAATCATTAATAGTTTTCAGTTTTTATAAAACCTTGGGGAGCATTTTCAGCTACACAACTGGATTTTATATATGTCAAACTACTAAAGCCAACCAGCTGACTATTGTGATAAGTTAAACCTTCCATTTTTAGTAGTTACCTTCACTATATTAATGTTTTTGAGAAAAAGGACTATATTAGAAGACCACTTCAATACACAAAAGGAATAGCCAAACACTGAGACAACAAATAGTGTACATATTGCTTTCAGAATTTACATGAGAAGTTAGGCTTGCTGTCAGGCTCCTGCACAGAAGTCACTTGCTATTGAATTTACATCATTTCTGTGGTAGCTCCTTTCTGAGCTCGCAGCGTAAAAATGCATACAAACAAGCAAAAACAATATTATGTGCAGAACTGGGAAGGAAACAGGAAAGAAGCGAAGCTAAAAGAGTTTCTTCTACTCTGCCCTTTATCTTTCATTTAAAACAAGAACATTGTGTAGTTTTCCATTCATTTTTAACAATCCAAATGAAAGCAGAAAATAAACTAAAATTCAAATCCAAATCTGGGCATGGGGAATATTCCTCAGAGGATGGAAGGGAAGGCTCTGAACATTAGGCTTATATGGTGGAAAGCAGATGGGGTCACTAGATCATTACCAGAGAGGCAGAGATGATGAGACATACTTGTTTTCACCTCAATGATAATTTACAGTGAACTCAATCAGGTTCAGAACCATGTTTATCTGCTTACCACTCAAAATGGGACCCAATGTTCTCTTTCAATCAAGTGACAGCAAAATTGTTCAGCCTGGTATAATAATGCCTTAGTCCTATATTCAATAGATATTCAATACAACTAACTATTGTATTTCATAGTCAATATAATCCAACTTATTATTAATGTTTACAGGTAGTACCTAATTTGGGGAAAACAAAGTCCCATTGCTAAACATAGTTATAACTGGCTCGATCTCTAGCTATGGGCTTAATGGGGTTACAGAAGGAAAGGAAGACCCTTTCTTGGTTTCACATTAATTTCTTCTTAATAGATCTCATTTAAAAAGTCAACCTAGCTACTGTGCAACTAGAGAAGAGATACCAAGCTTGCCTTATTTCCTACTCTTCTGAAAGGACTTAGGGTAAGTAGTGTAGCACAGAAGAGAAAAGGCTCAGCAGCTACACTGCCAGGGGTCACACCCTGGGGCAGCTACTTACTACAAGTGTGACCTGAAGAAAATCATTTAGCTGTGTTTCAGTGTCCTCTTCTGTCAAACTGGAATACTAATAACAAAGCATCTGCCTCAAAAGATTGTCTAATGGATTAAATGAGCACTTAGAAAAGTGCTTGGTGCATAAAAATACTTAACATGTATTTATTGTCATTATTGTTATTTTTAGCAAAGAGAGGATATTAGCAAAGCAAGAATACTACATGTTAAGTGGCCCAGGCTGCCAGACAATTAAATGAAAATCTGGTAAGTATTAGTGGGGGCTGAGAAAGAAGCTAACAAGTGATTGTGAGCATGCACTGCCCAGGTAGGCAGAGAGAAGGCCTTGCTAGAGGGTTCGAACTCCAGCAACGAGGCGCTGCTCTCTGCTTTCAAGAGATGGTGCTGCTCCTGAACAGTAATCATAGGGCACCCAGGAGAAGGTTGGGCCCTGCACTGACAGTCAAATGAAACTACTTGCAGTCTGTGAACAGTATAAAGAATACTTTTTTAAAATTTTTATGCATTTTTTTGAATAAGTAATATATTCACAGCATTCAAACTTTGAAAGGTTTAAAAGGGTTCCAGGGAAGAGCCCACACCGTCCTCCCAGTTACACAGTTCCTTTTACCAAAGACTAAGAAAAAAATACTAGCAATTTCCTATGGGTCCTTCCAGAGACACTCTTAGGTAGACACAAGCAAAATGAGCGTGGGTCTGTGCCTTTGAGAATACTTTATGTGTATAAAGAGCTACATCAAAATTTATTTGGTTGAGATTTCAACACTAAAAACAATTACAGTACTCTATTTCCAAAAGGCTAATCCTTCTCTTTTGTGTATTAAGTAGAAGACTTAGATGCCAGGATTAAATAATCATATCAAGGAAGCAGGCCAGTGTACATCACATGGGAAACCATCAGAAGGAGAGGGCACTAACTCACTTGGACCACAGGTAAGGTACATTTGGAATAAAATAAGTGATTATCTGTCCAATGACCTAAAAAGTTACTGCATTTTTCACATTCAACACAATTCCTAAGTGGTGATTTCCTCATCCACAACACTACTAGGCTCCACTGTTTCTTAGGTCTGCTCTGGTTCTGTCTTTCCAATGCATGCTTTACTGTTTGTGAGGCCCCCCAGCACTGACCCACCACCACTTGGGGTAGTGAAGGGATACCCACGCTTGAGGTAAAGCCAATATAGGAAACTCTAAGCTGGTAAGTGAACAAAGGAAGGACAGCTTGCTCTGTAAGAGGTTTGGCCACGTGGTTTTTTAAAAGGGAATATCCTCAAAATATCTAAAATATGACAATACCAATATTTTTTTTTATTAAATACAACTTTCAGCAATATATCCATTTGGTAAAGTGAGCCTTTTCTGCCTACAGGGACACTAAATTTGAAAAATAAAAGTAACTTAGATTGGGGAAAACAATTTTCAATCCAATTGATTAGACTTATTTTCTAGTATTTCATCCCTTCTTTGAAAAAACTCTTAGAACGCTGAAAAGGAGAAAAGTTATTTGCAGGGCAGGAGGAAAGGATTCACTATCCTTTGCAAAATCCCCTTTCTTTATGTGAACATGGTGGGGCTTTACCTGAGGCAAATGCTTCCCAGCGACAATGATGCCATTGGGCGTGCGCTCCAGGATCTGCCACACTCGGTCATAAAACCCGGTGGGAGTTCTATTCAAAGACCCATCAATCTGACGCCTGTTCAGCCAACATCTGTAACAAAAGGCAAATGTCCCAGAGTTGAAGAACAAGCTTGTTCTGGTGGAAACCAGGGCTTTCAATATGAACTAATTGTTCCGATAGGGTAAGCAATGAAAGCCAAAGCCCATCAATGATGCATATCTTCGTGTGTTACAGAGGCTAGTAAATATTTCATAATGAAAACAGGGCTGGCAGGACAGGAGGAAGTCTCTAAGATTCTAAAAAATTTAATAGACAAAATGTTATTCTCTAAGTAAGCTATGAATTGCTCAGTACATGCTCAAATGATTTTCAAATATACAAAGCAGCTCCCTTTAAAAATGCAGCAGCTGTGAATTTCATAATAACTTTATGTTGTTTTCACATATAATAAAATGTAAGCTCCATGAAGGCATGGAAATCATATAATTTGATCACTCCTATACACCTCTCCCAGAAAGGTGCTTAGTAAACAATTAAAAAGTGAATGAATAAGTGATGTTCAAAAAAGCATTTTATATAGAATAAAATTACCTTATTTTAAACTTTATAGAAGTTTGCCATTTAAACATAGCTAAAGTTCTCTTGCTGAAAAAAGATGTAAAATCTTACATTATAATAACAGAATGTAGTGATACACCAAAATTTTAGATCTTTTATTTTCATGGATTAAGCATTTAAGTATTAAATCTTAAAGATATAATACATCATTCACAAACTGCTAAAAATGCAGAATTTGAATAATTTGAAAAGAACACACAGTGACAAAGTAACATATTCTTGCAAAAGCTGAAGAAAGGACAGATACATTTATTTATTTATTTATTTATTTATTTATTTATGAGACAAGGTCTTGCTGTGTCACCCAGGCTGGAGTGCAATGGCTCAATCATAGCTCGCTGCAAACTCTAACTCCTGGGCTCAAGCGATCCTCTCACCTCAGCCTTTCCAGTGGCTAAGATTACAGGCATGCACTACCATGTCTGGTTACTTTTTAATTTTTTTGTTGAGACAGGGTCTGGCTATGTTGTCCAGGATGGTCTTGAGCTCCTGGCATCAAGTAATCCTCCTGCCTTGGCCTCCCAAAGTGCTGGGATTATAGGCGTGAACCACAGCACACAGCCCAGATACACGTTTTTTACACTTAGTATTTTAAAAGACAGCAGAGTGAAATGTATACTCAATTACAAGAGAAATATGTCATGACCAACACTATTTCTAGGTACGACAATAGCTATGCAGGATACAGTAAACAGAAAAAAACATTTTTGCTCTGGAAAAAGAGGACCAATGAAAATTTATCCCTACATAGGTAAGACGGGCATCCATTTTTGGATACATAAAATTTCTTTTAATAGGCACAGCCTTGTATTGCTGGTTTTAGTGTTTCACCAAAGTGACAAAGCTCAAAGGGTTCCTTGGTGATGTTTTACTTTAGGTAACTGGATACCCCACTGCCTGCATTTTATTTTCACCTCGTTCCCTTTGTTTGGCAATTAAAAGATATTTTTTTGGAGTTATATGAAGTTATGATTAATATTTTAAAAAGGAGATACTTGGTAGGACAACAGAAAAAGTAGAAATGGGAGAATACTCACAATGGAGGTAGAAAATTATTTTGAAAGATCCTTTCATTTTTTCTTTTCATTTTGAAAAATTTCAGACTTACAGAAAAGTCATGAATATAAACCATAGAGTTCCTGTATATTCTTTACTTAACTTCCCTTCTCCTTTTTTTTTTTTTTTGGAGACAGGGTCTCTATCACTGAGGCTGGAGTGCAGTGGTGTGATCTCGACTCTCTGCAGCCTCAACTTACTGGTTTCAGGTGATCCTCCCATGTCAGCCTCCTGAGTAGCTGGAACTACAGGTGCATGCTGCCACACCTGGCTAATTTTTGTGTTTTTTGTAGAGATGGGGTCTTGCCGCGTTGCCCAAGCTGGTCTCAAATTCCTGGGCTCAAGCAATCTGCCTGCCTCAGCCTCCCAAATTGTTGGGATCACAGGCGTGAGCCATCGTGCCTGGCCTTCCCCTACTCTTGTTATCTTACATAACCATAGTATAAAACCAGGAAGTAAACAATGATACAATACTATTAATTAATCTATGGATCTAATTCATTTTGTCAATTTTACCACTAATATTCTTGTTTTGGTCCAGAATCCAATCCAGGATTGGTGTTTAGTTTCCATGTTTCCTGAGGCTCCTCTAGCAGTTTCTTGGTTGTCCTTTATTCTTTCATAACTTTGACACTTTAGAAATGTCAGTTATTTTGTAAGATGTACCTCAGTTTGGGTTGGTCTGATGTTTATTGATGAATGGACTGACATGCATTTTTGGCAAGAGTATCTAGAAGTGATGTTGTGCATTTTTCTTATTTATTTACTTATTTTTATAGAGATGGGGTCTTGGAATGTTGCCCAGGCTAGTCTCAAACTTGTGGGCTCAAAGGACTCTCCTGCCCCAGCCTCCCAAAATGCTAGGATCACAAGCTTAAGCCACCACGCCTGGCCCATCATACCCCTTTCAATGCATCATATCAGGGGTTATATGATGTTCATGTGTCTTATTACTGGCGATGCTCACCTTAATCTTTTGGTTAAGGTAGAGTCAGCTGGGTTTCTCCACTGTAAAGTCACTATTTTCTCCTTTACAATTAGTAAGTATCTTGAGTGGAAACACATTGGAATGATGAAACTCTCCATTTTTCATCATACTTCCATGCAATGATGGTTTTTGCCAGCAACAATAACTGTTGTATTTGTCTATTTCTGTCATCCTATCTACACTTATTGGAATTCTATTATAAGAAAGGGTCTCTTCACTCCCATTTGTCTGTTTGTATCAGCATAGACTCATGGGTATGTAAGAATGTTTCTTCCTATTTTCCACTGGGATTTTGGTTGTCTTTCCCTCAATTTTTAAGAATTCTTGGTTATAAGCTCTTTGTGGCACACGTTTTGTTCCAGTTTCTCAGTTGTCTTTTGACATTGGTTGTCTACTTTTTGCCATACAAAGTGCTGTTTTTAATTTTCACATAGTCTTATTAACTTTTTCTTTTGTTGTCCTTTGGTTGAGCCATTATTAGAAGGTCTTTCCCATACTAAGGGTAAAAAGGAATTTCATCATGTCTTCTTGTTTTGCATTATTTCATTTTTTACATTTAGATTTCTAATCTATTTGGAGTGTATTCTTATGTGTGGTATAAACTACAGGTGTGATTTTATCTTTTTGCAAATGGCTATCCAGTTGTCTCATGACTATTTAAAAAGTCCATCCTTGGCCTTTGTCACACATTAAATTTCCATATATACTTGGGGGTCTATTTCTGGACTTTATATTCTGTTCAACTCTTCTGTCTGTTGTGTACCAATATCACACTGTTTTAATTACAGAGGCTTTATAGTATGTTTTAATGTCTAGCAGGGCAAGTCGTTCTTTCGTGTTTTTCTGATTATTCTTATATGTTTGGTTTTTCCATATGGAGTTTTGTATTAACTTGTCTTAACCTCATAAAAAGAGCTTGTTGAAATGTTATTGGAATTGAATTATATTTACAACTGACATCTTTATAACATGAATGTTCCTATTTAAGAACAAGGATGCCTTTCCATTTATTCAAATCTACTTTTGTGAAAGACAGCTTTTGTAAAAGGCCTAGGCAGATTTTTCTAGGCATATAACTATACCAGTTTGGTAAATGCCAGGCACAAACATACTCAATAAATACTTTCCTAAATACTTACATTAAAGCTATTTCTGTAATGAAAAAGTTCTTCAAGTCAACACAATCCATAAGTATTTGTTTTGTTCTTAGTGTAGGCTTAGCACAAGTCTAGCAAAGGGTTTAGCACTGAAGTCTATTTAGGGAGACAAAGCCACAGGCAACATATTTAAATAACGTTACCAAACCCAATCCTATCTGCCAAAATGCTGGGAGGAGATGGTGAGTGCCACAAAGGTTCAGAAAAGGAAACTGACTTCAGAAAGTGGTATGAGGTGTTACATTTTGCACAGAATAATAAAAATGAAGAAATGCTTATACACTACAATGGAAAAAAAGTATAAAATTAAAATCAGTGCAAAATAATAATTGAAGAGAGACATTTTGATTGGTTTTTCTATTTACACTTTCTATCTAGTGGGGTGGCCTCTGATACTCTGTTGCATTTTATTTCTTATTAATATCTTATCAATTTCATAGATATATCAAGCTAAACATTATGAAGTTATTGTAAATCCAGAGTATCATGTAGGTAACAAGGGGCCCTCATTACCTTCCATTCTGTTGAGGCTGCAGAATATCCAGCAGAAGCTGTTTAACTTCACTAGGTGATAGCTGATACAAGTCCAAGGCTGGCTTGTCTCCACCACGGATCTGAAGTTCGTACTCCATGGCATGGATGATCCACCTGAAATAAAACAGGGAAGCATGAATCAATAACTCTTGAAATAAAATCACCTTCTGCTTCTGTCAGTAATGCCCTTACACCACTGACCCATTCAAAGGAGAATGAAGAAGAGGCCATTTGAATTTCCTGAACCGTTGATACAATTACTTCCATCAAGATTATGTGACATGATCAGACTCTTAAAAATGAGGCCTGCCCTTGCACAGGTGGTGAGGTTGTACAACATTAAAATAGGTAAGTACTTAGGTTCTTAGCAAGTGAGATTTTACCCATCCATTGTGGTGTTATTCTGTACACAAACAGCTGCCACACTATATTTTCTTAACACTAGATAGATGCAAAAAAAAAAAAAAAAAAAAAAAAAAAAAAAAAAAGGAAAGAGAGCAAGAGAAACAATACATTTCAAGAAATAGGCTGAGATATGCTATTATGTAAATGTTCCTTTCTCTGAAATCTCAAGCTTTTTTTTAAAACCAATTTCCTTTACTTTGTAGTCATTCCTTTGGGGTGAGAGGAGCCAGACAAGTACCTGTCTTTGAAATACAAGGATACAATTAGTTATAACTTAGTTATAGTTGTACATTAAAGATGTACTTTAACCAATAGGTTGCATAAGAGCCAAAATATTTAATTATTTTATGTGTAAATAATTTTTTGAGGAGATTTTAAAAAGCATTTTTGTAGATTCATTTCATTTCTTTCATTTACTATATTCTGAGGACAGAACTCAGATAAACTAGTTATGAAAACCAAAGAAAACTCTGGAAATAATACTGTGCCTTAGGGAATGAGAAATTTATACACCATTAGGAAAAGCCAGGGAATTAATTTTACACAGCAGATTCCTATGCTTCATCCTTAAATCCTTTAGCGAACACTGCATAACAAACACAGGCAGTGCAACTGAGCATCTGGAAATAATGCATCTTTATTCACCCATGCTGCCTTTCTCCTCCATGCCTTCTCTTTCTCTTGATACACTTCCTTGAAAGGCAATAGTGTATTCTTATGTGTGGTATAAACTACAGGTGTGATTTTATCTTTTTGCAAATGGCTATCCAGTTGTCTCATGACTATTTAAAAAGTCCATCCTTGGCCTTTGTCACACATTAAATTTCCATATATACTTGGGGGTCTATTTCTGGACTTTATATTCTGTTCAACTCTTCTGTCTGTTGTGTACCAATATCACACTGTTTTAATTACAGAGGCTTTATAGTATGTTTTAATGTCTAGCAGGGCAAGTCGTTCTTTCGTGTTTTTCTGATTATTCTTATATGTTTGGTTTTTCCATATGGAGTTTTGTATTAACTTGTCTTAACCTCATAAAAAGAGCTTGTTGAAATGTTATTGGAATTGAATTATATTTACAACTGACATCTTTATAACATGAATGTTCCTATTTAAGAACAAGGATGCCTTTCCATTTATTCAAATCTACTTTTGTGAAAGACAGCTTTTGTAAAAGGCCTAGGCAGATTTTTCTAGGCATATAACTATACCAGTTTGGTAAATGCCAGGCACAAACATACTCAATAAATACTTTCCTAAATACTTACATTAAAGCTATTTCTGTAATGAAAAAGTTCTTCAAGTCAACACAATCCATAAGTATTTGTTTTGTTCTTAGTGTAGGCTTAGCACAAGTCTAGCAAAGGGTTTAGCACTGAAGTCTATTTAGGGAGACAAAGCCACAGGCAACATATTTAAATAACGTTACCAAACCCAATCCTATCTGCCAAAATGCTGGGAGGAGATGGTGAGTGCCACAAAGGTTCAGAAAAGGAAACTGACTTCAGAAAGTGGTATGAGGTGTTACATTTTGCACAGAATAATAAAAATGAAGAAATGCTTATACACTACAATGGAAAAAAAGTATAAAATTAAAATCAGTGCAAAATAATAATTGAAGAGAGACATTTTGATTGGTTTTTCTATTTACACTTTCTATCTAGTGGGGTGGCCTCTGATACTCTGTTGCATTTTATTTCTTATTAATATCTTATCAATTTCATAGATATATCAAGCTAAACATTATGAAGTTATTGTAAATCCAGAGTATCATGTAGGTAACAAGGGGCCCTCATTACCTTCCATTCTGTTGAGGCTGCAGAATATCCAGCAGAAGCTGTTTAACTTCACTAGGTGATAGCTGATACAAGTCCAAGGCTGGCTTGTCTCCACCACGGATCTGAAGTTCGTACTCCATGGCATGGATGATCCACCTGAAATAAAACAGGGAAGCATGAATCAATAACTCTTGAAATAAAATCACCTTCTGCTTCTGTCAGTAATGCCCTTACACCACTGACCCATTCAAAGGAGAATGAAGAAGAGGCCATTTGAATTTCCTGAACCGTTGATACAATTACTTCCATCAAGATTATGTGACATGATCAGACTCTTAAAAATGAGGCCTGCCCTTGCACAGGTGGTGAGGTTGTACAACATTAAAATAGGTAAGTACTTAGGTTCTTAGCAAGTGAGATTTTACCCATCCATTGTGGTGTTATTCTGTACACAAACAGCTGCCACACTATATTTTCTTAACACTAGATAGATGCAAAAAAAAAAAAAAAAAAAAAAAAAAAAGGAAAGAGAGCAAGAGAAACAATACATTTCAAGAAATAGGCTGAGATATGCTATTATGTAAATGTTCCTTTCTCTGAAATCTCAAGCTTTTTTTTAAAACCAATTTCCTTTACTTTGTAGTCATTCCTTTGGGGTGAGAGGAGCCAGACAAGTACCTGTCTTTGAAATACAAGGATACAATTAGTTATAACTTAGTTATAGTTGTACATTAAAGATGTACTTTAACCAATAGGTTGCATAAGAGCCAAAATATTTAATTATTTTATGTGTAAATAATTTTTTGAGGAGATTTTAAAAAGCATTTTTGTAGATTCATTTCATTTCTTTCATTTACTATATTCTGAGGACAGAACTCAGATAAACTAGTTATGAAAACCAAAGAAAACTCTGGAAATAATACTGTGCCTTAGGGAATGAGAAATTTATACACCATTAGGAAAAGCCAGGGAATTAATTTTACACAGCAGATTCCTATGCTTCATCCTTAAATCCTTTAGCGAACACTGCATAACAAACACAGGCAGTGCAACTGAGCATCTGGAAATAATGCATCTTTATTCACCCATGCTGCCTTTCTCCTCCATGCCTTCTCTTTCTCTTGATACACTTCCTTGAAAGGCAATCTACAAGGATATTGCAGGTACAGAGATGAAAATGTTAGAGTAGATGTATTCAAAAGATTAAAGTTCTTTTTTCTGCCAATGCTGGTTTGTAAAACAACAGTGATGCATCCTCATGGGATGACTAATGTCTCTCGATGTAGAGAACAGTAAGAAAAAATGCTAAGCCTTACTGGTTGAGCCAGAGAGGGTGTCAACCAGGCCTGCTGGGCCAGGCCATAAGCCACAGGGTAACATGTATCAAGTTCTATGACAGTTCTAACCTCTACTGCCCTGAGCTCAGACAACTCTCAGCTCTTCCTACCTTCTCCCCTATTGTTTGTTGGTGCCATTTCTGGAAGTTGGGAGTTTAGTCTAGGGTAACACTGAGATGGATTATAAAGGTATGAGAGATACACAATGATGAAACATACTAATATTTTAGAAATCAATACTATTACTGTTGATACTATGTAATAATATTTAATAGCTGTTCATTGGTAAGAGCAATAAAGATGAAGTATTTACAAACAACAAATGCCTGAAAGCTTCCTGTTATACACAACAACAGAATATGTAACAGAATTAAGATTTACCATTTATATTTCTCTAGTCAGTCGAAAAGAAAAACTGGACTACACCTATGTTACTGGCAAAGACCAGGCTTTCTTTATATCGTCCTCATTCTTATTGACTCTATTTAGCGAAAATGTTACACAAGCATAAAAGTAACAAGAACATAGTTCTTTTGGATGCTTTGATGTTTAAGCTGCTTAGGAAATTAGCTAGTACAGCAACATTTTAGTTACAATAAACTACTCAGTAGGCCTTTTCTTTAAATTAAAAATTTATATTTTTATTTTATAGACTAGGCATAGAATTGTCTTCTATTTATTTTATTTATTTTATTCATTTCTTTACTTAGATTTAAAACTTACATTTGAGGCAGCTTAGAATAATAGAAGGAATACTGAATTAAAAATCGAAAGACCTGCCTGTTGGTCTCCTCAATAAGTCAATAGAATGAAAAGCAAAGTGGGAGTTTCTGCTGTAGATGAAGTGATTTAAGAGATACAACCACTAATACCATGAGCCTTGTTTTATGTCATGATTCAAAAACAGACCAACTATAAAAAGTCATTTCAGGGATAACCCAGAGAAATTTAAATAAGAATTGAGTATCTTGTGATATTAAAAAAATTACTGCTAATTTTGGTGGCTATGATAATGGTATTGGGATTATTGAGATAATGTCCTTTTTTTGAGATATATACTCACTAAAATATTCACAGGTAAAAGTTAAATGTCTGGGATTTGCTTTATAATATACTATAGCAAAATAAAAGTTAAAGCAAATATAGCAAATACAAATAGCTAAGCACTACTTATATCCACTAAATAATGAGTATTTGGGAATGCACCAAATAATTCATTATACACTTAAAATTCTTCATAACGAAAAGCAAAGACAGACTTAAATACTAATTCTGTCACTTACCAACTGTGCCCCATTGGCAGGTTATTTTCCAAATGGGAATACTACTATTACTCATTGAACTTACTTTATGAAATTATTTTGAGGAACAAATAATGTCTATAAAAAGGCTCTGAAATGTTAAAGAGTCATAAAAATGTTAGTAAACTCTTGTTATGTGACTTCTTAAACTCAGGTTAGAGGAAGGTAATGCAAATTTTTAACTGAAGTCTTGGAGTCACTTAAGCCAAGTATCAGTCAATTAACTTCAGGAGGTATCTTCTAAAATAAATAACATTTTTATTTTTAAAAGGCTTACTTTTTAAAGTCTTCCACTAACTTGAGTTATTAAAACTAAACATAGTTTATCACATTTATCTTTTAAAATCCTTAGTATCACGCACAAAGATAGCTGGAGACCTTAATGTTTTCCCTTAGACTTCCTTCTATTTACAAAATCTCAGCAGTTTTGTGGGCAAATTATTGACAGCATTGTTCTCAAAAATCATCAAAGAAAGAAGGTTGTTCATTCATTCAAGCAAAAATAAATACAATCTGTCATATTATTAAAATACATTTATTGGCCGGGTGCGGTGGCTCATGCCTGTAATCCCAGCACTCTGGGAGGCTGAGGCAGGCAGATCACAAGGTCAGGACATCGAGACCATCCTGGCTAACATGGTGAAACCCTGTCTCCACTAAAAATACAAATACAAAAAATTAGCTGGGCGTGGTGGTGGGCACCTATAGTCCCAGCTACTTGGGAGGCTGAGGCAGGAGAATGGCGTGAACCCAGGAGGTGGAGCTTGCAATGAGCCCAGATCATGGCACTGCACTCCAGCCTGGGAACAGAGTGAGCTCAAGGAAGGAAGGAAGGAAGGAAGGAAGGAAAGAAGGAAGGAAGGAAGGAGGGAGGGAGGGAGGGAGGGAGGGAGGGAGGGAGGCATTTATTCATTAAAATTGTTGGTCAAACTAATCTTTTTATTCTTTGGAATTCTTCAAATAAAAACGGCAAAACAGCCTTAGACATAAACTACACAACTATTAATACCTGTCAGAAACCTACAGAAAGTAAATTACCAAGTAGTAACACAGTTAAGAATATCAAAGACATTTTATCCATTTGTAGGACTACTAATAAAGGAGGACATAGGAAAATCAGGCTAATTATCCCTCATTCCCAATGACAAGGCCATAAAATCTGATATTGATCATTTTAGAACAAAAGTTTTTTTTTTTTTTTTTTGAGGAGTCTCACCCCGTCACCCAGGCTGGAGCACACAATGGCACGATCCTGGTTCACCACAACCTCCGGCTCCCAGGTTAAAGTGATTCTCCTGCCTAAGTCTCCTGAGTAGCTGGGATTACAGGCACGTACCACCATGCCCAGCTACTTTTTGTATTTTTAGTAGAGACGGGGTTTCACCATGTTGGATGGGCTGGTCTTGACCTCCTACCCTCGTGATCCGCCCGCCTCAGCCTCCCAAAGTGCTGGGATTACAGGCGTGAGCCACTGTGCCTGGCCAGTACAAAATCATTTAAATACAAAATGGGGAAAGGAAACGATGGATGCATGGATGGATGGAAGGAAGGAAGGAACGAAGGAAGGAAGGAACGAAGGAAGGGCAAAAGAAAGAAAATGTAGAAGGTCAAAATAATGAAGGTTATGGATGGCCCAGAGCCTTATACATTCAGTCTGTCTAAGAGCCAGAGGTGCTCTACTTGCCAATAAGCAAATGAGAAAGTGGTAGATTCACACGACTGACTAAATCAGCCTTCATATATATCCAAGTTTGACTTGAGGACAATGAATTCTTTGGGACTGCTGGAAAAGCGGAAAAAGGAATATTAGTATTCCTCAGACAGTTCTGGGAATAAGCTTATCCTTTTAAAAACACTCTTGTTTGGAGGTTAGTAAGGATACAGTGTGTGTATTGGTATGTTTATTTCCCATATGCCCCAATGAAGGCAAACAATATGAAATAAAGTACATGGAAATCTGATAGCAGTGGTAAACCAGAACACCTGAACTTTTCTTTTTTTCTTTTTTGAGACATGGTCTTACTTGGCGCCCAGGGTAGAGTGCAGCTGTGTGATCTTGGCTCACTGCAACATCCACCTGCTAGGCTTAAGCAATCCTCCCACCTCAGCCTCCCAAGGAGCTGGGACTACAGGCAGGCACCAACACACCCAGCTAATTTTTAATTTTTTTGTAGAGAAGGGGTTTTGCCATGTTGCCCAACTGGTTTCAAACTCCTGGGCTCAAGTGATTTACCCACCTTGGCCCCTCGAAGTGCTGGGATTACAGGTATGAGCCACTGCACCTGACCAGCTGAAATTTTCTGGAAAAAAAAAATGCCATACAGAATAGAACTGATCACTGATCCTTGGGAAAAAAAATAATTTTTTAAAATAATCATTTTAAGATTTCAAGACAATACAAGGATCTGCTAAGTTTGCTGTTAAACAAGTGATTAGATGATTTTGTGCAAACATTTAACTAAGCCATATGTTATCGGCTGAATTCTTTCTCCCCCACCAAATTCATATGTTGAAGCCC